AGTGTATCAAGGTTAAATCAACACTAATTTACAGCAGGCAGTTCCAGATGCTGTGATGTATACCCCCCCTCACATAACGCCCCCACCATATACCACGCCCCACCATATACCACGCCCCCCCATATACCACGCCCCCCTCCCATACCACCGCCCCCCTCCCATATACGCCCCCTCCCCATATACCGCCTCCCCCCATATACCACGCCCCTCCCCATATACCGCCCCCACCCATATACCACGCCCCCACCCATATACCACGCCCCCACCATACCACGCCCCTCCCCATATACAACGCCCTCCCCCATATACCACGCCCCACCCATACCACACGCCCCTCCCATATACCACGCCCTCACCCATAGACCACTCCCCACCCATAGACCACCCTCCCATATACCACGCCCCACCCATATACCACGCCCCCACCCATAGACCACCCCCACCCATAGACCACCCCCACCCATAGACCACTCCCTCCCCATATACCACGCCCCCCCATATACCACGCCCCCACCCCGTGTTATCAAGAGTCAAGGATCAATTAACATTCAGCATAATCTTCCCTCTTGGTCTACTGGAGACAATGTGATAAGGAGAAGAGCCAGTTAGCTTCTTCAGGCGACCGCTTTGGCCTTTAGAGAGAAAAAGAAAGAGAGAGAGAGAGAGGGGGGGGTAGAAGGGTAAGAAAGGGAGATTCAAGACTTAAGAAAATGCTGAACTAGATATAAACAAGAACAAGAAAAGACCACACAGCACACACACACACACACACACACACACACACACAACACACACACAGAGGACATGGGAGGGAGGAGAGGGGAAGACAAGCGAGCAATGAGAAAAGAGGGGGAAAGAGAGGAAGGTGATGGGAGGGAGAGTTTGGTAGGATGAAAATGTTGGAACCTCGTCGACTGTAAATAGCTAATTCAACTAACTTAACTTGATTTCCAGCCTTGATATGCTGCGAATATAACTCAATTATCATCCGCGACTCGCTAATTAATCTAATACATCGACCCTAATCAAATATCAACTTTTATTAAACCCAATCTACAAACAGCGAAGATTGACGCTCCCAGGTCCTCCGAGTCGACCCCGCTGCCAACGTTCCACCATGACCCGGGTGATGTTATTTCGCCTTAAATGGAATGGACTTGTAAATCACGTGGGGTATTTACGTCTCGACCAATGGGGGAGGTAATAAGGAGGAGGAGGAGGAGGATCATTTGTCTGTGTCTGTCTGTCTGTGTGTGTGTTTGTGTAATCTATTAAATAAAACATCTGTGTGTTTTTGTGTTCAAGTATCTGCAGTATGAATCTCTCTCTCTCTCTCTCTCTCTCCAACAACACAACACAGGACCCACTTTACCACCACCTCACCGCCTCAAGTTATGACCACTTAACCCGGAATGAAGAACAAGAGTTATGGCGGAGATAAAAGTGAATTTACCTGTACAGAATGCTATCCTTCCTCCCTCCCTTCCTCTCTCTCTTTCTCCCTCCTACCTGTCACTCATTTCCCTCCCTCCCTAACCTCCCGTCACTCACATCTCTCCTTCATCCCCCATCACACCCTCCCCTCCCTCCCGGGTACTACGGCAGAGAATCAGTCAGCATTCAAGAATAGGCTTTTCACCCACGCCGTGATTGGTCTCTTTTTAGGCAATACTTCATCGTAATCCATCCAATTAATTACACTCTGTCCTGTACTGAGCGGCGCCTGATGCATCTAACCACGCCCACTCTCTCTCTCTCCCATCCACCACCCCATCCCCCTATTAGTTTCACTGTTTCAGACAATCCATGCCCCAATTACTGCAAAATAGGGTTCCTCTGATTCATTAGGACAATTAATCTGGATTCATTTGAGGCTGATGCTAGGATTACGCTCGGTGATTTTAATCGAGTTATCGTCACAGACACGACTGGTAAGGTGAAAATAAGTGTGACGTTAGGTGTGTGTGTGTGTGTGTGTGTGTGTGTGTGTGTGTTGACAAACTGGTAGAGGATAACATTGAGATGTAGAAATATTAACGAACTTGTGAGCATAACTAACCTAACCTAACCTAACCTAACCAACATTACAACAACGTTTCACTGTGGTAACGTTAGCAAATTAGGATCAGATGACACAAACGGACACATGCTCACACGGACGCACGGACACATCCCCACACGGACACATCCCCACACGGACACATCCCCACACGGACACATCCCCACACGGACACATCCCCACACGGACACATCCTCACACGAACACATCCCCACACGGACACATCCTCACACGGACACATCCTCACACGAACACATCCCACACCACATCCCCACGAACACATCCCCAAACGAGCACATCCCACACGGACACATCCCACACAGACACATCCTCACACGGACACATCCTCACACGGACACACATCCCCAAACGACCACATCCCACACGGACACATCCTCACACGGACATCCTCACACGGACACATCTCACACACCCATCTAAACGACCACATCCCCATTACACAGACACATCCTCACACGGACACATCCCACACACGAACACATTCCCAAACGAACACATCCCCACACGAACACATCCCCACACGAACACATCCCCACACGGACACATCCTCACGTCACTAATTAGGAGAAATGTTAGTTTACAAACCTTTTGAGAACCTAAGCCTCTGAGGGGGGGGGGGAGGGGCAGTAAACAGGGCATTAACCATCATTAACTACCCTCACTAATTTCCCAAAGGTATGTTATAAACCCGAGTATATCATCATCTCTCCTCGGCCCCTTGCATTAAAATCAATCTTTTTTGTGAAGTTAATAAAATACATGAATGGAAAATATTCTCTTGCTTCAGTTAATTAGGGAATTTCAGCACAGCGGCAGAGACTGAATAATTAAACTCTGATACTCACGTTCATTAGTCAAAGTAATTCTGTGTTTTTTTTTCCGGTTAAGCTTCCGAGATCCTTCCAATACATGTTCTGATAAATCATTTTGCCTCTGCGAATTATTTTGTTAATTAAATGGACGCTTTGTCACCTAGAGAGACAGGTGTCCACGGCGACTGGCTGTATTAGAATACTATTTTAATTCATGTTTTTTTCACTTTTTTTTTTTTTTAGTTTTTTTTTATTTGTTTTTGTTTACAGTATAATGAGATCCTGTGTATGTTTATGGCAAAGGTTATGTACCGGTATAATGATACAGTGTGTATTTGTATGTATTTCTGTACCCTTATCTTCACTACTTACAGTATAATGTGACACAATAATATACAGTATCTTTAAATATCACACAACTACCCAGAATAGTAGTGGGTTAAGTCGAAGGTAAATAGTTTGACTGTGTGATATTTAAACGCTTAAGAAACTTGACAAACCCTTTCCCCCTTGTCATCTGTGTAAGTAATTAATTTATGTTTGACTGTTTGTCTTGTCCCCTTTACCTGCTCCTTCCCTCATTCGTCTCACATTTTTATTACCAATTCTTACATTCAATGGCTTCTTGGTACTGGGATGTTACGATAGATTAATTTACGCTTTTAACTATCCGTTCCAAATCCATTTTTCTCTCTATTTCATTATATTATCGATACACCTGTAATTACTACCTGAAGATATCAATATATTTACCTGATGATGATTAGATAATGTTTTTTTTTTTTTTTTTCCCGATACGAGAAAAATATCACATGTTTATAATTTAAGTTCAGACTGTCAGCCATATCTCTAGGTGTTGAAAGCGTCATACCAATAGTGTTTTCAGGGGCTCTCGGCGCAATAGACACGCCTGTTCTGAATGTAGGTCAGTTGTCAGTTAGATCGGCCCCCAAGGATACGTTGTCATCTGTTCCTCCCCCCAGTCCATCACAAGAGTAAAAATAAAAACACCACATAGTGTCTTTGTTTTGATGACTTTTTTCCAGTCCAGGTCAGTTGGATCTCTCCTCCCTGTTCTGTAGGAGTATACTGTAGTGCCAGGAAATACGTAGGTTACTCTAAGGTTGAATCTGAGCCTTAAAATGTGAACCTGTAATAATAAGAAGAAAAAAATTAACGTATTTAAGGTAGAATTTGAACCTAAAAATGAACCTAAAGTAAAAAAAAAATATTGAACGTATTTAAAATTGCATCTGGATCAAACTGTTTTAACCTCAAGAAAGGAATTCGAGATTAGTTCTTTCAATTTACTTAAAATGGCGAACTTAATTTTTAGTATGAAAAACAAAAATGATGTACTTATGGTTTTAAATGAACTGAATATAGTAGTATTTTACTCAGAGTAACATGATGGTCGAAAATCAAACCCCAAAAAAGGGGTAATTTTAGCTCTTATGTATTATATCGACAGGCAGACGTAGTTCAGGTGTGTTTTAAAGAGCTCAGTGCTTGTGTTTTAAAGAGTTCAGAGCTTGTGATTTAAAGAGTCCAGTGCCTTTGTTTTAAAGAGTTCAATGCTTGTGTTTTAAAGAGTTCAATGCTTGTGTTTTAAAGAGTTAGGAAGGGTCGAGCACGGGTTCACTTAGGTTTTAACATCACGAAAGAAGACGTGGGAGGATGAGAGTGATGTCCCTTCACCCACTACGAGTCTCTCTGGCCCTACTGTGGCCTCAGGAGGGTGGCGGGGAGGATAGATGGTTGAAGGAGAGGAAGGGAAGGGAGGAGGGAAGGGTAGATGGTTGAAGGAGAGGCAGGGAAGAGAGGAGGGAAGGGTAGATGGTCGAAGGAGAGGAAGGAAAGAGAAGAGGGAGGATAGATGGTTGAAGGAGAGGGCAGGGGAAAGAAGAGGGAGGAATAGATGGTTGAAGGAGAGGAAGAGGGGAAGGGGAAGAGGGGATAGATGGTCGAAGATGAGAGGCAGGGGAAGAGAGGGAGGATAGATGGTTGAAGGAGAGAGGAAGGGAAGGGGAAGAGGGGGATAGATGTGGTCAGATGAGAGGCAGGGAAGGGAGGAGGGAAGGGTAGATGGTTGAAGGAGAGGAAGGGAAGGGAGGAGGGAAGGGTAGATGGTTGAAGGAGAGGAAGGGAAGGGTAGGAGGGAAGGAGATGGTTGAAAAGGAGGAAGGGAAGAGAGGAGGGAAGGGTAAATGATTGAAAAAGAGGAAGGGAAGGGAGGAGGGAAGGAGATGGTTGAAAAGGAGGAAGGAAGGAGATGGTTGAAAAGGAGGAAGGGAAGGGAAAATGGTTGAAGGAGAGGAAGGGAAGGGCGATATTTGAAAAAAAGAGGAAAAGAAGGGGAAGGAAGGGAGGGAAGGTGGATTATCTGAAGGATAGGTTTATGGGTGGAAAGGAGGAAGGGAGACATGGTGGAACGGAAGGAGGGATGATAAAAAGGAATGTGGAAGGGAGGACGGGTGGATTGTATGGGAGGAAGAATGGGAGGGAAGATGAAAGGGAGGAATGTTGAACGTCAGGAGTCAAGAGAGAGAGAGAGAGAGGAACCTGTCAATATAGATAAATGACGAAAGAGGGAGAATAGCAAAACAAAGGAAACTGAAGAAGTGCAGAGAGAGAGAGAGAGAGGAGAGAGAGGTATAGAAGAAAGGGCGATTAAGGGAACAGAGGGATTGAAAGAAAGTACAAGGAGAATGAATATAATAAAAGTGATTGAAGAAGAAAGTGAAACAAAGAGAGAACAAGGGAGAAAGATTAACAGAAGGGAAAAGAGAATGAGATGGAGAGAGAGAGAGACAAAGAAATTGTTATAGTGTGTGTGTGTGTGTGTGTTCCTGTGGAGGTATATATATATGCATTTTCGTACACACACACACACACTCACACACACACACACACACACACACAAACACACACACACACACACACACGTCTCTGCTGTCTCCCGTCCAAACTAAATTACTGGAAGGTATTTTTGCCCGCCACTGTTTATTTCGTATCGTGGCAACCAAGGATAGTGGTGTGTGTCTGTCTGTCTGTCTGTCTGTTTATCTTTTTTCTCTTTCTGTTTGTTTATCTGTGTTTTTTTCTGTTTGAGTATTTCACCGAGTATCTCTCTCTCTCTCTCTCTCAGTGTCACAGCCAATGACAGGAGAGCAACACAGGATCCCCTAAGTCCATTAGCTGGCCTCAAAAAATGCGACACTCTTGATTGAACATTCCAGGAAGGATTAGGTCTGTCTGGTAACGTGTGTGTGTGTGGTGTCCCGCCCCGTTGGTATGACCTTATCCAGGGAAAGTAGCCATCAAACGAGTGCAGTATATTGGAGGGAAAAAATGGTCAAGTATTGTAAGAAATATGAAATTCGGATCAAAGGTTTTTCCGCTTTTTTTTTTTTAATTTTTCCAAGCGAGGTTCAAAGACTGTATCGTGTGGATTTCATTTCATTGCGTTTCATATTATTTAATTTGTTTCGGACTATTTTTAAGGACTTTTTTTTATTTATTCTCGTTTGTTTACGTTCATGAAACATTGCGTCAGTTATCGATTTTTTATTTATTTTTTGGTTCATTCCACTAATACGAATTCGAATTTAGTTAACGGTTTGGCCGCTAGGGGGACAAATATGAATATATCAACATATAAAATATTATATCTCGCTTAATATTCATCTGACGTCACTTATAATATATGACATCACTTATAATATATGACGTCACTAAGACTATATGACGTCACTCTAAGACTCTCAGGTAAACTTTATTTAACCACCTGTGTACGGGGTCTCCTCTCTCCTGATCATCTGGCGTTATCCAAATAAAATAATAAATGTGGCGCCCCCGTAGTGAAGGGGTTAAAGACCTTCGACTTGATATTAGGGGAAAAGGTTAAACAAAATATATTAAGTGAATAATGAAAATAGGAAATGCTGAAAATAGTTTTAAATGTTGAGGGGATTTTTTTTTTATCTATAAAAATATTGCTGGGAATAAGAAGATTGAAGTTGGTTGTAAAAATGGATTTATTAATTTACGGATTTTTTTTTCTTTTGTTTGAGATTAAATAAAAGAAATAATCATGAAATTGCATCTAAAAATTGAGGTAAGTCTTAACTTTTTTTCTTAAATTAAACAAAAAATATTTGAATAAAACGCCATTTTTTTCTAAAGGTGAAGGATATATTTTTTTTTTATTTATATGTGAAATATTTAAGTTATTAGATTTAAATAACAAGAAAAATCATTTAATTTTAGAAATGAAATAAAGTAAATAACCAAAGAAAAACATCAGTAAATAGGATCTATAAACCAAGAGTTACTTTATGATAAGAGGCTGAGAGGGAGTGAGTGGGAGGCGAGGCTGAGAGTGAGAGGGAGGCGAGGCTGAGAGGAAGTGAGCGGGAGGCGAGGCTGAGAGTGAGTGAGAGGGAGGCGAGGCTGAGAGGAAGTGAGCGGGAGGCGAGGCTGAGAGGTGAGGAGAGGGAGGCGAGGCTGAGAGGAAGTGAGCGGAGGCGAGGCCAGGAGTGAGTGAGAGGAGGCGAGGCGGGAGAGGAAGTGAGCGGAGGCGAGGCTGAGAGGGAGTGTGTGAGTGGG